ACAAGCCTCATCAATTGTTGCGCAACCAAAGTCATAAATTTTTATATATCACTAACTTCCTCAGTTGAATGTTGTCTCATATTTCAACCTCCCGATGTGCAAGCAATTGTGTAAACTCTTTGGTCACGATTTCACTTGAAAATTTTCATTTTCCGACTATAACAAAGGACCACTGGCATTATTCGTACTAATGTTTATTCACAGCGGTTCGCATTATTTTGGATGCCGATGAAATCGGCGGAGTGTGAATGGTTATTAAGTCATGGGAATACTGTAATTAGTTCGAAATATAATGTTAATTCGATTATTATACATGAAGCTATAATGTTGTCGCTTCAATTTGTCAAACGTTCCGGTTATGGATGAGATGCGTATTGTGAGATTTCATAATTCAATTTCGTTAGCATTTTCCCATCAATTTTTGTCATGATTGGGTTGGCTTATTTTCAATTTACAATGACTATACTAATTGATTTTGTGAGGCTTATTTTGACCCCCCACGCATGGTAAAATCAATTTTCGGAATTCACTTTCGATCGAGGTGTTGCCATGCAACATGTTGGGAATCAAGTCAGATCGTGATTATCTGCATTTCCCAAGCGGTTTGTGTGCGCTTATTTCTGTGTTTTTTAGATTAGTGTGTCATTTTTGTTTTGAACATCGTTTCGTGAACTGAAACTGTCAAATTATTTGCTTGAAAAGTTACAAGCGTGAAATTGTGTGTGTGTACAGATTATTAAAGCATTGAAATGTCATATCGTCGTCAACACACTTGCAGGTGTAATTAATATTATTTCACGTGAATGTAATACAGAGCAAGTGTCCAAAGCGCCAATGATCAGTGACTTGCAAACATACTGCGACGACGATGATTCCGCCATTGCCATTTGCTGCCACAATACGATACATACACCGAGATACAAAAGAAATGGCTTGTGAGTGTACAGAATTCGTGGGTTGTCAACGAAAATGGCAAAGCTCGTAAATCATATAAAAATCAGATTGATTTTGAGCTTTCTTGTAAATAACAATCCACCTGCGCCATGTGTATTACGTTAAAGCATGAGCGCAAAATTAATGCATGGCTCGAATAAACATGTAATACTATTTGTATCGTTCAGAAAGCGTATCACATTCCATTATTTATCAATAAATCAGTGTTGGCATTTTGTTTCGGTATATTGCAGAGATAAAAAGAAAAATAATGGAAAGAAATGCACGAGACTTGAAACACGGCACGCATATTGCTGAAGATGAGCATATCTAGAGTAAAGAGTTACTTCGATCGATACGGATTGCCGGAATTTTCTTTTCGTTTTCGTGGGAAAGTTGAATATGTGTTTTTTTTTGTTGTTCGCTCTTATCTTGTTGCTCGAAAATCATAAGATGGAAAATCATCTTTGGAATTGCATTTAAAGTTCGTTTACCATGAAAATTGTTTTTCGTAAATTCGTCTGCTTTTTCTTCTGTTTCAGTTTTGTGTCTTCAACTTTTTTTCTAAATTGTTTCTTTTTTCGGATATGAACAATGAGTGAGTTTGCTTTAGAAATTTGCCAGTAATAAATATCACATGGCAGGATTGTCTGTTGAGCAAAATAGCAAATGCATGTAATGCATCGATAATAAGTAGAACATCAACGATTTTCTTCTACATCTTATTCTGTCATGGAAATAGGCCACCACAAATGTAATTAGAGCTCTTTGTCTTCGAGTTTCTCATTTGTTGTGTGCGTGCCTCTCTTCCTCTCTCTCTGTACGTGAGAATGTGTTTTCATTTCGGATGCATGGCGATTAGATAGTGTATATTCTTGTTCAAGTGAGGTCGAGTGTGGCCGCTTCACAGCGAATAATTAAATTGAACACGAAACAGATTCTGCGATAAATCCTATTACAACATCGCCAAATGATTTGCAGTTGCTGTCTCTCGAAATGAAACAAAAAAACAAGAGAAAAGAGCATGGACAAAATATGTGCTTTGTATAGGGAATGCCAAGAAGTTCCCAGTTTTAAACAGACAAAGATAACCTAATACATGACGAGGGGCACTTACAATCAACTGAAAACAAACAAACGCCCGCTGCAGCAAATTACAAAATAAAAATGTGAAACGAAGATGGATTGTGTGAAACAGTCATGAAACACACATTGACGAGAGAGCGAGAGAGAGAGAAATAAGCGAGTGAAAGATATTTTTCTCGCTATTTTGCTTCTTTAAATTGTCTCCATATCGTGCTGCGAAGTATTCGGATGGATCGTTTCTTGGTGGCAAAAGTTTTTTTCTTTCATTTTTTCTCTGTCTCTCTATCTCAATGGATGCATGCAGCTTGGCATTTTTTCAATTCGTTTTTTGTTTCGATTTCGCCTCAAATTTTGTTGTGTTGCGTAAGATTAATTATTTTCGATAGCGTTCGGGCGAATAGAAAAGAAGCTATGAAAAGAAACGCAACCAACACAAAACAATCGAAGTACAAAGTAAATAAATTGGGTGCATTTTCGCCTTTTTTCTATTTTTTTCTTTTCATTTTGTCGTTGCTGTTTTTCGGTGTAAAAGTATTTCAAATGGGAACTTTTGCCTCTATGCTGTTTATGATTGTTGTTGTAATTGCTACAGCCGTTGCTACGATTTTGTTTTTGACTGGTTTTCTATTACGGAATCAAAAAGGAAATACACTCATGTAGTCGATTTGTGCTTATTTATTTCACTTGCAACCAACAACAATGCTCACATCAAATTCAACAGTTATTCCAGCTCGGAAGTTTTGCAATGTTGCAATTGCTGTTGGCGTTCTCTGTGTGAGAGCAATACCAGAAAAATAAGGTAGGCAACATTTTGCTATTTTTCTATCGAATCTCTTTTTTGCTGAAAACCAAAAAATCAACGGCGGCAAAGTGAGAGAATGAGCGCTTGGTAGCCACGTTTTCGTGCAATAAATTCAAATCTATGTAAGATGGAATTTAATCGGTTCGGGTGTATCCGATCGGCCACTTGAAGTTTGGCTAGCATGTTATCATGGATTGCAAGCAATTAATATTGTTGCCAACAAAATATGCGGCGAAGATCGTGTCTACTTCTTGGTACCAACACCAGTAAGCAATGCGAATGCATCGCTGTTGATTTTAACGGTTATTCCGTGCATGAAACATTAATGTGCGTCAAATAGCATATTTTTAAGGTCGCATTTTTGCACAGAGGGACTTCTTCAAAATTGAAAAATGTTTGGCAAATAAAGAAAAACGAATAGCAAAATAAAAAAAAATGTAGGAAGCTTTCTATGGGTGTAATGCTATATAATGTGATACATACGCCTAACAACAAAAAAATATATGAATGCCAACGACCATTATTGATAAATGGTCATAAAGCTGTGTTAATAGTTGAACATAGCCAAGTATTTCCAGTTTAAGTTCATAAATCAAATAAACTTCATCATCAGCATTAATTCGCACATTTAATATTTATTACATTAGGCTCATCCGAATAGAATTTGACGCCCAGTTTACATTAAACACGATAAAAATGTGGTGTGAATTTGGCTATCCCCATCTTAATAAGAAGAAAACAATCTTATAGTAGCCAAAAAGCGTTGTCATTAACGATCATTAACAACCGTTAAAAAGAAAAGAAGCATTGCCTTAAGTAAGTTTCATCTCGTTCATGGCATGATCGGTGCTCGACAGTGTGACAAAATCGACAGAACTTTCCACTTGTAAGCAAACACAATGCAATGCAATATATCAAACAAAATGACTTCAATTTTATGTAATCATCCTCATTCATATTGTGAAAGTTCAGTGCTTCTTTTGTGCATTTGTAATTTAATCAAATAGTTTAAAATTGTTTATCGAATACAATGGAGAATCATTATTTTAAGAATTTCGTTGTTAGTTAATCATAATAACAGCGAAGCGACACAAATCACCGACGCCACTGTTGCCGCCATACCGATCATCATCGTTACTCTAATCGAATTTAACTGCAATGCAATTCATAACGATGCACGTCAAGTGCATTGAATTAATTTTCGTTGCCGACACAAGTTATAATTATATACATGAAATGCACCGACGATCGAATTGTTGCCAATGGCACACATTGTAGCAACATAACGAATTTGATATATCGTGATGAAAAGAGAAAAAAAAACACCGATTCATCGACAAATTTCCATTGTGCCATCCGCTAGGGAAATGCATTTATTCATTTTATGTTCTGTCAACCGTATTGAGCGTATAAGTATCGTTTACTGTCATACCATCTTTACCATATAATTTGCCATTGTTGATGGTACGCGATCAGTCGGTTTTCGAAACGAAATCATCCATCATTGTGAAAAATCCATAAAGCGATTAAACGTTACGACCTCATAACTACATTGTCTCAAGTGTCTCACACTTTTTGCCTCTTGCTAAACGATCCATTGCACACAAACTCATTTCATTTAATACAAATAATGATTTTGTTATTATCCATCGTCATTTCTCTTTTTTTTCACTTCTGATGCCCATCTATTTCATGCCGGACAATTGACATAGAATTTAACACACACAAAAATGTCACAGAATCCAATTTCGTATTGTTGTTATGGCATTTTTTTATTAAGTTAGCGTCAACAACAGCAATTACTTCAAAATTGAAATTGCACATATATTATATAATGAATGATAAATTAATTTAACGAAATCGCGGCTTTTTTTAGAAAAACAGCGAAAAAATGTATATGGAGAGAGAGTCAACGAATGTCATTGAATAACAATGGCGATGGAAATATTGATTCATTACGCATTTAATAATTTTCCGGACTTTTACACAATGCCCACGTCAAATCATTGTTATGAAATATCCCAATTAAATTGAAGAACCATTATTTAAATTGAAAATTGGCAATTATTCTAGTTTGTTAGCATATAAAATCAAATCAAAATTTGTGAATGGTTTTGGAATTTGGTCACCGAATCGACATAACTATAACACAACAATAATTTTGTTATGATTTGTTTACCTTGATGAATTCAGTTTGGTTTCGATACAAATGTAGCTTTATTTTCCCATGTGATTCATATCTACGGAATAGAAAGAGAGAGATACAGAAAATTAGTTACATTTTTTGATTTAAAGATAATTGTTTTTGAATTTGTTGTTTCTTTGTTTAATGACTTTGATAATTTGACTATTGAAAGTCGACTAGAAGTAGTTTTTTTTTGTTTTCAAATTCTTTTGTTTAACTGTATAAATCATCAACAAGCCCTTTTACAAACAATGTATAAATTCAGAAGTGGCGAGCAGAAGAAATAAAAAAATTGCTACACAAAAGAATGAGTTATGGAAATGTGCTTAAAAAAGCGTCATTTTCACTCCGTGCAATTTGCAACTGAAGAATCATAAAAAATGTCGATATTCTTATTAGTTTCAACATTTATCTTTTGAAATATTTCGTTTGCCATTCAAATATGTTTATTATCAATCGAAAAACTACTTAAGAGTGATAAATTGCTACTCTTTCACTTATAACCAATAAAAGAATATATGGCAAACTCACATCCTTTTACCATTAAAATGTCTTAAGAACGTTTTAATGCTCATTCTTTTTAGCTTCCAATCTGAACGGATTGCTGAACGATTTAAAAAAATAAAATAAAACATACACAGTTCTCCAGCTCAGTATGAATGGGAATTATATTACTTATGATTGATTTGTCGCCGTGAAATAATCTTTATGATCGTCATATTTTCTTTGGCATAAGCGTGGCTCGTGGTTTTTCTTTTTCGTTTCGTTCGAGCGTAAATTATATATATATATTTGCTTTGAAAAATGGCTACATTCATCGCGAGTTTGGCAACAAATGTTTACTTTTTAAGATGTAAATCATTCGCTAAGCGTTTGTCCATAATTCATGTGCTTAGAAAGATTGTATTTGTGTGCACTTTGCATGTTGCGGCCGCTTTTTTTCACAACACCTTATTTATAATGCGCTGGCAATAAATTTCCGGGTAGTCCCATGTAGAATTGAGTCAGATGTCACGATATAAATACACACAGTTTGTTCTCGGGCCATTTTTGCGTTGCATAGTGAGAGTGTATCTCTCATATTGGATGGTGAATCATAACAGTAATTTTGAGCGGATTTTTTTGTTCAACATTCCTTTCGCGTATCATGTTCCGCGGCGATAAGAAAAGGCTGTAACAATCTATCAACAACCATATCTCCAACGGCATTCATTTTGGCATGACAAGTAGAAAAAGATGATTATAAATTCATAAAATAGATGTCTCATCGAACCAGCGGCAATATAAAACGTTTTATCAATACAATAAACTTGACTATTTCTTACGTCGCGCACAATAGACAAATATACTGCAAAATCGCACGCATTAATTTCCGAAAAACCGCAAAACCTCAAAAGAAATTACAGAAAACGGTGAATTGCAAATTGTACGCAAATTTGTTACTCTCAGTTGAGTTGAGAATTTAGCATTGATTCTAGACTGTCTTTTGCCATTCAACGGAAATTAGCTCGCGAAAAAAAAACCAAATTCCCCGCAGAATGCCAATTGATTTTTTTTTGTGTGCGACTTTGGTTTAGTAAAAACCGCACAACGCAATAAATGAAATCAATGGAAAAGTACGAGAAGCGGATTGCTTACGTCGAACAAAGATTGATATTGTTTGTTCGTTGAATAGAACAAAGAATGTGGTGAGAGACTGCGACGTATCGGCATCAGTTGCAATGGAAGTCATTGTATTATTTTATTGACGACGACTCAGTATAATGATGTGTATGTGCTCATCTAAATGATGAGTTAGTGTAAAAGAGGAAATGTTTTGAACGAACAAAACGAATTTATGACCGAACGAAGGAACAAAAACATTCACACATACTCGTACAAAACTTTCCGACAAAAAACACACACAGAATGAATGGCACTCAAGTGTGTGCGAACTGTATATTTTGAAATGGATAATAAAACGAGCGAGCGAGGAAAAATTGAAGCAAAAAACAGAACGAAGGCAGACGCGAAACGTTTTCTTTTATGCGAGCGAATGAATTAAACCGTGGAAAAAAGGAAACCAAGAGAAAATAAAAATACAAAACTGTTCTATAAGTAGAAAAGTGAAGAGTTTACATTTCAAAATAAATGTTTTGTTTCTTGCATTTCGTTTTGCTCTTTTCTGTGCTCTCTTTTTCTTGCTTAAAATGCCCGTTGGCATTATTTTAACCAATGCAAAATAAAATTTTGCGAAATACGACAACCACGATGATTCGGAGCATGCGAAATCGATCTGTTGCTCATGAATCCACATTTGCACCCATCACGTATAGATGATGTATGACCAAAACCATGCGTGAATCTCTAATGCAAACAATTGCTGCTGCTGCTGCAACGAGCGAGTGAAGAAGAAAAAACAGCAACTAACAAACACAAAACAAAACACGCTAAAACAAACATTCAACACTGCATTCGGTCAATAGCTGAGCATCACCAGAGCTACAGTTGTTGTGTAAACCGATCATAAGCTGATTTAATAACACTAAAAACATGAAGCGAGCATAGCAAACATGCGGGAAAAACATTGCAACGACACTGTCGGCAACGGCAGTGGTTTTCATTTTTTTTTTTCGTTATTTCCAAACAACACAAAAAATGTCTATTTATATAGAGAGTCCATTCATGCGGTTTCGATGCACGCAATATAAACTCGAAATTGATGTTGGTTGAGAGAAAAAAAAATCTAAACATAAAATATTTGAAAAATGGATCTGAATATTCCAAAATGGCTGTGATATTTACTTAGTGTCCTCTCTTCTCTCTCTCTCTTTCTGGATGGGTCATGTCATTGGAAGGCCATGACCATATGAATTCATTTTTATGGCACACTATCATTGAACTTTTATCCATTGCATATTTCTCGTATCAAATGCTGGAACGAACAGACGAATGTGTCCCACTTCAGCCACTCTTCTATATTGCGCTTGTCATTTTAATATAATCATTATTTGCCGCACGGTAAAAGAGATTTGTTGTTTTATTTCGCTTGCACATTAGCCTTAATAACGGTGCCGTCCGTATTAGTATCGTGTGGAAAAGAGTTCGCCGATCTTGACAATATAAAAACTTCAACGCCAATAAACTCATCATTTACATTTGGCAAATATATAAAACGCAATCATAATTTTATGACGTGATTTTTTTTTTCGTGTGATTCTTCGTCGTCTCTCCTTCTCAAGTTTCACATATTATGTGGCTTTGTTTGCATCCGGTGACTTGAGTTGAGATGCGGTTTTCATCGTTTACTTCTTCAAATCATTATCGTAAATTGGATCTCGAACACACTGTATCAGACGATTACCCTTTTTATTTGATTTTTTCTCTCTGATTCTCTCTCGCTCTATCTGTCTTCAGTTTTTAATTGATATTTATTGTGCCACAGAAATTCCGGCTAGAAAAAGAGTGAGCTACATCTGTTGTTCTGTTGGGAATTTATTTATTGATATGGTTTTTGTTTTGGGCTCCAACAGCGACAGAACCGAGAGCGTTCGTTGATTTTCAATTTGAAGCTTGCATTGCGCTTTGTTCGTTGGACTTAATGACAAGTACAAGAAAATTACGACAAACAAAAAGAGAGACACCAACCGACGTTGTCGAACTAGAGGCGCGATTTGCAATTAATAAAATAACAGCTCTCAAACTGAGAACATGCGGCCTTAGCAGCGTATCATTGTCGATCACGAAACGGGAATAAAAATGTCCGCACAATCACTTACATAGAACCGGTTGTCATAAAACATTGAAGAAACACGATTTCTTTCAATTGGTTTGTCGATGGTGCGTGTGTACATTCGAAATGTACGGAATAGTTCAGCGCAAGAAATGGACACTGAAGAGATAGATTAAAGCACAGAAGTATGAAAAAAAACCTTTTTTTTGGCCGAACGAGTGACAAACGGAGTATTTTAAATGACAATTCATTGAAAAAAATGCCAAGTTCAAGCATTCAGATTATTTTTGAACATTTTTCACGTTTATTCATCATTATGTCACTGCAATTTGTTGTGCGTTGTTTTTTTAATGGCAAGTGACTTTTGGTGGTGTGTACATTTAAATGAAAATGTGAATTGCACACCGAAAATGATATGCAATAATATTTTAAATCCATTCGTTTTGTTCAATTTTTCCGAAGAGAATGATTTTATCATCATCATAGCAGGTTAACGACTACAACGACACCGCCTCTGCAGCATTTTCTCCCGCTGCCATTATGTAATGTAGTTTTGAAGTCAAGTACTCAATTCAGTTTTTCGCACAACGAGTCACGTTCGATGGCACACTTCAATCATAACACAATACTTGATGCTCTTCTACGAACATTCTCTGCACTTATAGTTTCGCTTAAAATTTCTGGAATTTAAAAATATATTCCGAATGCTTTGGGTCAAGCATGGCTTTTTCCCCCATCATTTCATTTTTTTTGTCATGACTTCGACGTCATCCGTTTGGAAAGCCTCGACAATGGTCAATTTTTTTACCATGATTAATTGAAAAATTTCACGCAAATCGGCTTCGAATTTAATAATACATGAGGGCATTTTCCGCTTCCATGAAATTTATGTAGCGTCATTAATTGGATTTTTTTATTTAAAAAAAAACATGGTTGATCTCCACATTTTTAAGCACACGCAACATTGTACTTAAAACAACGAAAAATTAAACGTTTGAAAGCATCGCTGGGACAAAATTGTCCGTTGGTTCGTTTGTACACATTTTTGCGTGTCTAATTGAAAAATAGATTTATTAAGGCAATGCACGCTTTGAATGGAACGAGAGAGTCCAAATTAATGAAAATGAATAGGCTTTGATTAACAACGTCTGATGGTAAATTTGAAATCAACATCGACGGGAATCAAAATTGATGGGATGGCACCTAGGGGATAACCGTGAATTGCAGATCGAATAATTTATAATAATAAACGCTATTTCTCTCTATTTTTCACTAATTCTGCTAGTATTTCTACTAGTTTGTTCTAATACTGCTATTTTTTGCTAATTTCTCTAGTACGTCAA